ACTGGCAACACCTTCATCGCTTGACGAAAGCGAGTGAGCTTCACCACCGCAAGTGGCTTGGTCATGATGTCCGCGATCATCTGCTCGGTCCCAATGTGCTACGTGGTGAGCCGTTTAAGCTCCACGTTTCGTCTCAGCATATGATACTTGTTGTCTATGTGTTTAGACTTGAAGTGCTTTCCAGGCTTGGTGGTCAACGAGATTGCTCCCTCGTTATCACCCAACAGTAATGGTACTGGCTGCTTCCAGGCCAGTTCCTCACACAGACCCGCATTCCACAGCACGTCCTTGGTGGCTTCAGCCATCGCCACATATTCCGCTTCGCACGTACTCAGGGAGTTAATCTCCTGTTTTCTTGATGCATACGTTATCACGTTACCGTCAAGTGTGTTCACATAGCCACGGATGCTTCAGATGTCCACAGGATCATTTGCATAGTCGGCACCTGAGTAGCAGCGTACATTTGCAGTAGCTCCCTCAGGTACGTCCATCACCAAACCGTAGTCACACGTAGCTTTTAGATACCTAAGTACCCTCTTAGCTTGCGCGTAGTGTGTGTGGTCGTAAGACGCCAGGAACTTGCCAAGATGTCTCGTTGCATGCGCAATGTCAGGCCTTGACGCATTCACTAGGTACTGAAGTGTACCCACTAGCTCACGGTACGGCAGATAGTCCGTTGTCGCAGGTACAGTAGCCTTAGATAGTACAGTAGCCTCAGGAGTAGTACATCCGTTGCAATCCGACATGTGGAACCGCTTAAGTTCTTCCAGCACATATTGTTTCTGACAGTATACAATCTGTCGGCTTGGTCTGTCGATCAAGATCTCGACACCCAGCAGGCACTTGACAATGCCCATCGTAGTCAGCTCGAAGGTTTCTTGCAGTACAGCTGCAATCTTGGCGCACAGGTCTCGGGGTCCCATTAGTAGTAGGTCATCGACGTAGACGGTCAATAGCAGCTTAACTTCACCCTCTTCCTTTAACGCATACAGCCGATAGTCTGAGTCTGTGCGCTCAAAGCCCAAAGTCACCAACTTCGCATGTAGAGTCCGGTTCCAATCATTAGGCGCCTGATTCAATCAATAGAGGCTCTTCAATAGCTCGCATACAACGCTTGGTCCATCAACTTGGAACCCAGGCGGCTGCTCCATGTATATCATCTCGTCGAGATCTCCGTACAGGAACGCTGTCTTCACGTCGTCTTCCATCCTCGCTGCGCAGCGAAGTCAATGGCCGCACGAATAGTTTCGAAGCGAATCACCGGTGCATATGTTTCACTGTAGTTGATGCTGAACTGTTGCTTGAATCCGTGGATTACGAGACGAGCTTTGAACCGCTTGACATGTCCACGCTCATCTTGTTCACCGCAAAGACCCATCGACATGTAATCACCTTGACACCTTTCGCCTTTCTCCGCGGTACAAGTCACCAGGTCTTGCGCTTCTTCAGCGACGCCAGCTCTGCCAGCATCGCGGCCCGCCACTGGGTCCAGAGCTTACTCTTCCGTGCCTGCTTGTAGGTTGTAGGAATGTCCACTCCATGCCATGCGCTATCACTTGGCCCACCACGTAGTCGCTCAATCGTATGTTTGCCTTCTGCGGCCTTCTCGGTCGCTTCAGACGTCCATGCCATGCGCTATCACTTGGCCCACCACGTAGTCGCTCAATCGTACGTTTGCCTTCTGCGGCCTTCTCGGTCGCTTCAGACATGGCTCGGCTGGAGGTTCTTGGATTGCAAATCCAGTGTCTTCCTTCACGGTTTCTTTCACGCCTTGCGCTTGCGTCTCTTTGTCACCTTCACCGGTTCAGACCCCTTCTCAGGTGCGACCTGAGGGTCAGCAGACTTCTCCACATCTTGCTGTTCGACGCTCGACGAGTCATCGTGCTCTGCACTCCCGCTGGACGTTTGTTCTACGTCCACAGCCTATTCAACTTCTAGGAGTTCACCTGCCTTGCTCATCGGTACAGGAGCACTATTCTCTGTAGCGTAGGTTTCGATACTCGTCTTAATTCTAACTACTGGTGGCTTCTCCGGCAACACGTGCAGCGTGTCCAGGTACGCATTTTCCAGTAGTTGCTTCACGTAGGCTCCATCTACTGTGAACCCCTCGTGAATGTGGCAATTCTCGCTCTGCGCAGTCTTCACCTGACAGGTCAATAGGTCTAGAAACTTGAAGCCCTTCGTAGAGTCGCTGTAGCCGAGCAAAAGATACGTTTGTGCCCGTGGTTCAAGCTTCTCCTTTCTCTGTCTTGACTCAGGTGGTACTCGCACATGCGCAATACAGCCCCAGGTTCGCAGCATATTCAGGGGCGGCTTCCGTCCGTACAGCTTCTCGTGCGACGAAGTCATTTCCAACATCTTGGTAGGTAGTATGTTTAGTGTTGTCACCATGTGCAGCAAAGCTTCTCCCTACAACATGCTCGGTAGATGTGTAGCTGTCAGCAGCGCTCGCACACGAGGCAGCACAATGCCGTTCGCCCTTTCTGCGATCCCGTTCTCTTGGGGAGAGTACGCATTCGTGAACTGCTGCACGATGCCGTGTTCAGCGCAGTACTCATGCAGTTCAGTTCCAGCGAATTCACCTCCTTAGTCCGACCGAAAGTGCAACACCTTGTAGTCTTTGTGATGCGTCCGCAGCTCCTTTAGCAGCTTCAAGATGAACCAGGTAGCTTGACTCTTCTTCTCGAGTAGATAGACTCACTTGTATCTCGTAGCAACATCCACAATGAACATGAACATTGTAGCCTTGCTTGCTGTCTCCACATTCATCGTACATATGTTCATAGCCAGAGTTTCAAGTGGTTTAGTCGAGCGAACTGGAAGGCGTTTGTGACTCATGCATTTTGTCTTGCTCACAACACAGGCAATGCATTCGTAGATGTTCCGAGCTTTCGTGTTGAGTTTTACCCCCACGTCCATCTTATCAGCCATCACCTGAAGCAAAACCATGTGTAGATGGCCAAAGCGCTGATGCAAGAGCCCCATCGGCTTCTTGTCGTCTACAGCTTGCTTAGCCATGGCCATGACCATCACGCCGGTTGCCTTTTCACTCCACAGCCGGTAGAGATTGTCTCGCATCTCAAACTTTAGGATAGTGCCCGGTTTCGACATACACGCCGTCTTCTGGTCCATAGAACGCATCAGCCTTTAGTTGCCTGTAGTCTGCAGGTATCCCATACTAATCAGGTTGACCTTGGCATTTGGCGTGTAGACTACATCGTCCAGCGGACGATCCTCAAGCTCACCAGTCGCTTGATTGATAACACGCAGTGGAACAGAGCCACCAACCGTCGTATGCTCCGTAGTATATTTAGCGAAGTCCAGTCGGCTCGTCTTGTCTTCTCGCCGTGTCGTGAACAGAGATAGATCACCACAAATGTTGGTCTGTGATCCCGAGTCGAGGATCCACTCCGTAAAGTTTCTCTTAACAGGTTCCATGTTCTCATCTCGTCCAACTGCATTCACCGAAAACGTATGACCTTGGTTCGCAGTGTCTTGTCCTTGGCCGGTCTCAGTACCCTGAGTTGGT